AAAATAAATCTTTGGTGCAATGTGAGCAAACCTAAACATAATGCCGCAATCAACACTTTTCATTCATTTTCACATTTCACTTTAAAATGGGTATCAGGTACATTTTACATCCCTATAAAAGTTTAATTGACCTAAAAAGAGAACTATTTAATAAGATAACTAATTATTTTGAAACCAATGCAATTGTAATTTCAAGCAGTTTCAAGCACTTTATTCAAAATCCAAGCACTTTTCAAACCTTGAAAACGCTACATTAAAATTCAAGCATTTTCAAGGATTTAAAGCACCCGTACGAACCCTGTATATTATACAGTTAAAAACACATTAGAATGGTGAATGCTTGTTGTGTTATGAACTGCCATTTCTGCTCTCATGACCAGCATGGAAAACGGATCCGAAATGAAGTGCAATTTTCTGCTTTTCAGCTAAGAAACAACACAATGGTTTTGAAACCAAAAAAGTTTGGCTTTGTCATTTGTATTTATTGTTAAAGATTCATAATTTCTGATCCGCTTAAATATGTAAATGCTCACACCATGATTAAAGTACGAAAACACAGAGAAATGTTACTTGTGAAATAGCTTGTGTTCATAAAGCAATGCTCTTTTGTTTCATTGTTCAGCTTCTCTAAGTAAGAAACTGTGTATTTGTTCGGACCAAAATGTGGCTTTGTCATTTGTATTTATTATTATAGTTTCATCATTTCTGATCCGCTTGAATTTGTAAGTGCTCACGCCATGCGTACTGTACAAAAACAAGTTTAGAAATGTCATTTGTGATATAGCTGGTTTCAATCACTCTCCATGTTCATAAAGCAGCGCTCCTTTGATTCATTGTTCAGCTTCTCTCTGTAAGCAATTGTGTATTTGTTAGATTTAAGTCCAATAAAACTTACTTGGTGTAGCACTTCCACAATACAATTCATTTCAGGGCTGCATTACAGAGGGTCATACAGTTATGTTATCCTTTAATGCTTTAACATTAAGAAATTAAGATCGACATGATGATATGTGTTGATTAAATACATGATCAACTGGCTGAGATCAAGCTATATTGTGTTTATTATTTTATGTGGGAGTTATATCAGTACCACTTGGTTATTAAAAACTGCAAAAGAAAAATCACTTTGGTCCAGGCCACACGACTGAGCACTCAAATGAACTCAAGGGATTCAAATGAGAGCCCGACCAATATATTGTTTTGCCGATATGAGCCTGTCGTAGATATATCAGTATCGGCGAATATGCCGCCGATATGAAATTTTTTTTTACAGATCATATAACGCAGATTTAATGCTTTTGAGTGGTGTAATTACTTGGTTTGTCCAGCAGAGCGCGCTCCATTGTTTGCTACTGGCGACCTAGGAGCTCAAACTTCACCCAAGTCCGCTGCTTCAAATTATCTGCCCGCCACCAACCGCACCTATATTTGATCGTCACATTACAATGATTCTAATTCTTAGCTTTGCATGATGATATGATGAATGGAGGGTTCATTTTTAACAGCAGATTCAGTGATGTTAGAAACTAGAGCTGATCTGCGCATCACGGCACACGGGTCTGCGGCGCATTAAAGCCTGTGTTATGGCCACCGGAGCTGATCGCGGCCACACAGTCAATGCTGGTGTTTATACCGGCCGCGCCAGGTCACATTACATCACATCACATCACATCACATAGCGCAACAAAATACAATAGAATTCTATTGTATTTTGTGGTGCCGCGCTGCTCGCATCCGATGTAGAATAGAACCCATTATAATCAGTGATGTTGTCTACACTGGATGCAGTAAACTGATGCCTCGTTCTATTTATGACGTGCTGACACAAAGTTCAAATGATTTTCAACAGTCGCTTTGTTGCATCCTGTTGCGGCACAGACACGGTGTCAGCATAGTTTGTCAGTACAGTCAGTAACGTAGCAGACTGAAAAGTTAGTATCTTTCAGCAGTCCAATAGACGACAGTGCGGTGGTGGCTTGAGTCTGTT